TCACAATGTCCTTCTTCGGAGTGTTCTTGTTCACACCGAGGATCTTGTAGTAGTTTCTTTTCCCCGCGGATTTCTTGAGCTTCTGGGCTCGCTGAACGCCTTCCCGCGGTCTGTCGTAGCGTTCATCCAGCTGAGATGCCCTTTGGAAATCCGCGATAGCTGAAAATTTAAAAACAGAATGAATGAAATAATCTTTTAAAATTACATCACGTATTCTTCATCAACCCATTGTCACCCTCGCCCTTTTCTGATGTTACGCGGCTATAATTAACAGCCTGATAATGCGTCAGAATAATATAGTCGAGAACCTGCTAATTTCACATCTTACGAAGGAAAAAATTTAATGCCTAAATAATTGATTTGAATACAGTATCTGAAAAGGCTCAACGTGATGATAAATAATGCACCTAAAAAAATAAGTACGGGGATAATGGAAAAGTTTTCTAAGATTGCACTCTCTGTCACTAAAACACTTCTGGGAAGAAAATGATTTCAATTGACCAATATTTAATAAGTTTTCTATTTTCCTCCTAATTTTTTAAAATGTGTACATAATCCTTCATGCGATTGAAAGCCTTCGTTAATAATCCAAAAAGCGGAAAATGGTGTTAAACAACCCTTGCTTTTACCCTTCAGTAAAAGTCTAACGCATCTTGAAGTTGTAAGAGCTGACCAATTCTTGATTAAAACTGAAGAAATGAATGTGCTCAATTGTTTTGTGGGCCACATGCAGGAATATTTCCTGATACATAAAAAAATATGCGAATATATAAGCACCCCCACCCCTAGTTTCTGGGCTTTTAAAATAGGATAAAAGGGGTACTTTTAGTTGCATAATTCAGATACAAAATTGTCTTGAGTACCACTCACAGCTTTTTTCAAAATCTTTCAAGTTCTGGTGCAAGTCATACTTGATTCTCAAAGGAAATTTCTAACCCATTTCAAAAAACAATTTTTTCCAATAGAAACAAAAAATCATTAATCCAATTTGTTTTTCAACTCAAGTCAAAATTTTGATTCTGACAGGTTTCATTTGAGAAACTTTGTTATTTCTCAACTGCACCAAAGTAACATACCCATCCCTTTTTTCAAATTTTCCAGAGTTTAGGAGCAATAACTCATAATTTACTTATGCAGGAATAAGTAAATTATACTTACTTAATTACTAAGTTAATTATAATTACTTAGTTAATTATACTTAAGGTGACGCGAAGAAATTTTTTTCCAAAGGAAAATACTGTATACAAAATTATTTCTTTTTCTGGTCCAACTCGAGTCAAAAGTTGATTCTGGTCTGTCATATTTTCAAAACTTGTCATTTCTTTTAGCAACGAAGCATGGGTTGCGCATGATCCTCGGGGATAAGTTTGTATCCAAATTTCAGGACCAGAAAACCAGGAGCGTGTCTTACTCAAAGACACGTGGCACTGAAGTAAATATGAGTAGATTCCTTACCTTCGTCGAATTCGTCCAGGGCCAAGTGAGCATCAGCTCTATCACAGTAAAACCTGGGATTCTCTTCGAGACGAATGGCTTCTGAGCAGGCTTTCAATGCTTCTGTAGGTTCACTGCCTTTGGTTGTGCAGTAACACAGCCTGTCCTGCGCACGCGTCAGAAACCGCTGGTGCGAGGGCTCAGCTTTCTTCACTTTCCGCGCAGCTGCAACGCAATCTTCGTAATGCTCAGCTTCGAATGAGGCTTCCATTTCCTGCACAATTTTCGCTAACTTCTTCACCTTCTTGTAGTGGTCGAAGCACTCCTTGTGATCCGGGTCCAACTTCAGACACTCTCTCACCGCACTGTCGGTATGAGAATACGCATAAGTGTCAGTTTAACGACTACTTATGGACTTGGTTCAGTTTAAGAGCACGCACGTAAAAGAGAAGAGGTAACACTTCACTCTGATGTTTTCTAACGCACTGCAGAAATCGGGTTGTCAATGCTCACTGAATAGTTCAATACCGACACTGAAACACGTCGCCATTATGAACAGAATCTTTCTTCAATTTCAAATTGAGGAATTTTTTGGCGATTTTGTTTAAATATAGATCAATTCACGTACGAGGGGTTCAACAAATGCTCTCGGAATAGCAACTGAGCTGAAAAGCAATCATTGTTCAGAAAAAACGTCCTCCGACAACAAAAACTAATAAATCAGGCCTTTCTTGACATTTTTCTGAAAATTTTTGCAAGTCACTCTGGCAGCATTATGCTTATGAGTCAAACGATGAGGCGCCCACTTTGCAGATTTTCTGGAGTACCCCAGCTTTCCCTTGAGAATTCTTGAAATTGACATGGCATTGATTTCAGGGGTTGCCACAATTTAACAATAATGAATTTCATTTTCATATACGGTCGCCAGTTGGAATGAGATAGTGGAGGCTGTCAAAGAAAATGGCAGAATTACCTCGTAAGACTTGGAGGCAACCCTTGGAATTAATGCCATGTCAATTTCCGGGATTCCGAAGGAGAAGCTGGGATAAAAAAAAAAACCTTGTGAACTCTGAAAAGCGGCAAATAAAGTGTTCTTTTCATTCATTCATTCACAAAAAAAATCTGCGAGATGGACGCTTCCTCTTTTCAATGAAGAGCAGAAAACTGCCACGGTAACTTCTGAAAAAAAAAAAATGCGTCGAACAGGGCTGAATTTTCTTTTCCTAGCGCAAAAAAATATTTTTCCTGAAAAACTGTTTTCCAGCTCAAACATGCGCCGTTTCAATTTATATCCCGAGAACTTTTGTTGGACCCCTCGTGAATGATTTTCGGATTGAAAATCTCAAATTAGACCGTGCTTACTTCAATGACTCGTCAGCTTCTCCCATCTCGTAGTGAAGCTTGGAAACTCGAAATTCCCCGGCTGTGTTATCCGGCGTTAGCCTCACAGTCGACTTGAAATCCGAAATCGCGTTCATGT